CGGCCAAGGTGACTCTAGGCTTGGAAGCGTCGCCTTTTTTTTCTACTTAAACAACGCGAAGGGCGGAGTTCACGGTTTGTCTGGGTTGTTCTATCGCGGTTCCGTATCGAATCGCGGTACCGAACGGGTCGAGGAGCTGCAGCCGTGGGATCACGGTGCCCTCGGGTTCAGTGGTTGCTGGAATTTCCCCTCCCCCCCATGCTGTTTTAAATAACCTTTGACTATCTCTCTTTAAAGTATTGAGCTTTAAGGCTCAGCTCCAAAGTACATTTTTCTTTCTTCTTATGCACTTATCTTAATAATATCCTAAAGGAAATTTTTTTTTGTTTTAGCTCCAAGCTTTTTTTTTTCTCTGCTTTTTTAATGCATTTGTTATATCGCCGTGCCTAATTTTTTTATTCTTCCTTTCGTGTTTTATTAAAGTAGTAGTGCCACCATGATCCTGCGGCAGATCTTGCGGCTTTCCTCCCTTTTCCACTCCGCCGTGTCCGTTCACCTGCGCAGGAACATTGGGCTCTCTGCCATTGCCTTCAACAAGACAAAAGAGCTCGACCCCGTCCAGAAGCTCTTCGTGGACAAGATCAGAGAGTACAACACCAAGAGCAAGTAAGTAAAAGAAATTGTCTTAAGGGGAAAATCTGTTGATTTTGACATAAAAACATCAGACCCGAAGTGTTTGATTTTTCAGAGTTTGATACTTCTGTAGGCTGGTCTGTAAATATTTAAGGTGTGTTTTTCTGCAACATTTATGGTTTCACTAGTGGGAAAGGTTGTTCTTGCATATCTAATAGAAAATAGCAATTTTTTTCCCCCTTAAAAAAGGAAAAATCTGATGCAATTCTTTCTTGGGCAGTTAAGCTACACAGTTAAGGTTTCTTGCACTCTGCATGAATGTACTGGTATGTTAATTTTCACCCATCTACATGCTCTATAAATTGGGGAGGGAAAGTTAAACAAACCCTTTCTTTTTTTTTTTTTTTTTTTTTTGGCTGAGGAAAACAGTTATTCTGTAGTCTTGTTTCCAGAAGCTGAATGGAAATAGCCTCCAAAACCAATTAAGAATTAATGGAATTATCAGGGTGGTCCATTTACTTAACTGCTTAAGTTAATAAGCAGTTCCTTCAAATGGAATCTTCGATTCATGTAATGTTTGGATGAACTGCTGACCAGGAAAGGAAAGCTATAGTAATTCTGTGTCCTTTATTCTTGGGAAGTATTCCTGGAAAGGAATTAAGATGCTTCCTAGCTCTACTGGTAGAAGATGTGTCTATCCCTGCCTACAAACCCATCTGTGTAGGGAGGGAGATATTTGGTGATTTTTACCAATTCTAAGCATGGATCCCGTGCTGGTACAACTGAGTGCTGGCAATCTAAAGAGTTACTATTTTAGTTATCTGATGCTTGAATGCCAAGAAGCTCCTGTTGTGGAGGAGACTTTTGCTTCTTTAGCATTCAAAATGCATTTTCTTGGCAAGAACAGTTAAGCTTTACTGAGATAACTAGTTCAGAGACAGAAGAGGTGCAAATCACAGCTTTGTTAGGAATTCACACCTGGAACATACAAAACTAAACGCCTGGAGAGCCTCCATCCTCATCAGTGGTTTTTTTGCCTCATAAGACCACCTCTTGTCTCAAAGGGCTTGGATTTTCATCCCTGACAGCTGGATTTTCCTCACTGACAGCAGAAAACCTTTACCCTTAGAACCTTGTTTGTGTGTAAGGTAAGGAGGCCCTAAGGTGTCATATATCGAGTTTTGGAAGTATTTTAAATTGTTTCCTTTGGCTGGCTGTTAGAAAGTCTTAATTTATAAATGGGCTTGAAAAACATAGAATTTTCCATGTGAAATATTAGAACTAAGTTGTTAATCACGACTTTTAATGTTTATTAGGCAAGCTGGAGGGCCTGTTGATGCAGGACCTGAGTTTCAGAAAGATATGAATGAATCCCTTGCAAGACTCCAACGGGCCTATGGTGAAGGAGATCTCACCAAGTTTCCAGAATTTAAATTTGAGGGTGAGTTAACAATCTTACTGAATTCTAATTGCAGCTAGAGACATGTTCACTCACAGGTTTCTTACATTCCCCTTTGGTTTATACTTGTACCATTAATTTTGGGTAAAATGCCCTCTGAGAATCTTATGCTTTTGCACAGTCCACATCTGTTTCCATGTGACTCCTGTTTTGATTATTTGCCTTTTCTAGCAGGGATGTGGTCTTCATTATGGTAATGATTAATAAAACTTGCAGTCAGAGCAGACTATCTTAATTGTTCTTCAGACACCCTAAAAAAAGACCTCAAATAGAAATAGCCTAGGGTGTGTATTTTTCTCATCTTGCCAAAAAAGAGCAGCAGACTGTAATGTGAATATCATTTAGTCTTAATATCATCCAGACTGTGACTTTCTTGATTTCGTAAGCTCCTCTGGAAGCCACTAATTTCAGAAAATTAACATAGGACTTAACGTCCTTACTTATGAATATTTTGTGGCTAAATTATATTAAACCCTTTTCTTCAGCTATTTGGATATGACTCTTTTTTTTTAACTGCTCTAAGTTTGTTTTAGTGTGGAAGGGAAAGAACAGACAGCAGGAGGCTTGGTGGGTATCTGGCAGCCAGCAAGGCCAAGCAATCGTAGTCAGCAACTTGTAATTCTGATCAGACTGTCTGGGAATTCCAATTTAGACTTGGAACACACCTGAAAATGTTTTGGGTTTTGGTACTATTTCAGTTGGGTAAAGTTGGTGTCAAGTTGTTACTGGTGCAGATAAAACAGAGTACCTGTAAAGTAGGATCTATGTTTTTTTCTGTTTTATTTTGCCACAATTTTAGGGATGTAATTTCTCTACATTCTGTTTTATTTTTGTGTCATATGTGCAACTATGCGTATTAAAATTTTACTTGTTTTTGTAAGGAAAAGGAATTTTTGTGACTGTAGGAACAGAGCAAAGCACAGACACAACATGACTTTGTTCTTTTGACACTGTTGCTTGTCCTTGATCTAATTTCAATTAAGTTTGAAATAGTAATTAATCTGAGTAATTATATGAGTGGGAACATCAATTTCTTTACCTTAGGGTTGCTTACTATAAGCTGACCCTTGCCTCCCAGACACTGTATTAAAGACAGCAGGCATTAGGGCCCAAAGCCCTAACTTTGGTGAGCGTGTACCTTTGACATCAAGAACTCCTTGGTCAGTGTTTGCACTGAGAGCATCTTGCTGAGTTGAGTTGAAATTGAGTGCTCCTCTCTGTTAATAAACACTGATGATACACTAATGAAAGGGAGGGAAGAGAGATTACTTGTTCTTACAGAGCTGTGTTGGAAATACTCATCCAGTAATGTTCTGGTTGACTTCTTTAGTTTCTCTGCTGTCTTCTCCCCTATGCCAGGTGTCACTAAAAGCTGTTTAGGCAGAACATTACTGAGGCTTAGCCTTTATACATAACTCCTGCAGGGTGAAAAAGACCTGTCTCCATCCTACTTATTGTTTACTGCTGCCCACATTTAATCAGTCAGTGGAGGTGTAGACTGCAATGTGCTCCTTTAGCTTGGCAATGTGATGGTTACTTTTCTTTGAATTACAAATTAATTGTGGTGTTTGAGGATGGAATAAAAAAATACTAATAGGAATTTTCTCTCTCCCATTCCTCCTGTAGAGCCCAAGTTTGAGGAGACTCCAAAGTGATCTCTGCAGCTTGTACACCAAACAGCAATGTACAACCATGGAGTTACTGGACATGGCACCAATTGTAATTTAATAAATGTAGTACTTCAGTTTGATTTCAGTGGTGTGAAGAAGCTCTTAATTGCATGGTGAGTGTGGCTAGCTGTGATCATCAACTCTTACATGACAGAGACAGCTGAGTAGTGCTGCTCAGTGTTAACTGCAAAATTCCTTTGTGTGCTGTGTTTTAATGCTTAGATATTATAACACTTGTAATGATACACCAGGAAGGAACTATTTGTTCTGTTGAGTTTATCCAAAAAGTTTCTGCAGAAAAAAAAAATCTCCATGAACCTTAAATCTGTAGCAAAGTTACAGTAGTGATGGAGGCGCACAGTCAAAAGCACAGGCACAAAAGCCCTAATTCTACACTACATCAATGAACACAAAGGTGATGAAGTTAATCTTGCAGAAGAAAATGAAGTCTGCTCAAGAGGTTGTGAGGTGCAACTGAACTACTGACACAAACACTTTAACTTCTGAGGAGCTATTTATTTATAAAAATTATATCTGAGAAACTACATAAACACTTTCACAGTCTTCATACTACAGTTTGAATTGTATTGACATGATTTTTATTCAGAATGAAACTATATATGCAGTCTACAGAGAGAGAGAGACTTTCACATTAAACACTAAAACACTGCATGAGTTTTTTTTACAGGAAGATTTATTTTGTCAGCATAGTGAGTTTACTGCTACATGCTTTACAATTGTATCAGATTTGCCAAAGTTATCTGTTAAGTCCTAGTACATCAGAATTGCAGGAGAAATTGAGCTCCTGACAATGTTTGAGACACAAGTAGTGAGATCACCTATGAAAGTTATTTGAATAGATTGTTCCAAGCTGCAAGAGTGAATTTTGTATTGCTGCATGTACATATGAACAAAATGAGAAGCTTTCACACAGAACTAAATTGAATATACAATTGAATATACAAGTTAATTTGTCTTCAAGTTTATTTGGGAGTTGTTTTTTTTTGAAATGCCATCACAGCTAGGTTGACTAAATATTGGCAGTTTTTATTTTCAGCATGTAAGACATAGAAACAATATTTACAGAGCAGAGGCCAAAAGATCCCTTGTGGTTTTAACCCCAGCCAGCAACTAAGCATCCCATAGCCTCTGGCTCACTCCCTGTCCCTTCCCCCTACTGTAGGGAAGGGAATTAGAAATAAAATTTGTGGGTTGAGATAAAGCACTTAAATAACTGAACCAAAGTAATAATATGGGAAAAAGAGAGAAAGAGAAAACCTGAGAAGCACAAGTGATGCAGAGCACAAGTGCTCATCACCACTCACTGACTGATGCCCAGCCTGTTCCCCAGCAGCAAATGGCCCCTCCCAGCCAACTTTCCCCCAGTTTAAATACTGGGCATGATGTTCTATCCCTTTGCCCAGTTCAGGTCAGGGTCCTGGCCCTGATCCCTTGTGGCTTGAGCACCTTCTCACTGGCAGAGCTTCAGACACTGGAAAGTCTTTGAGTCAGGGTAAGTACTGCTGAGCAACAACTGAAACATCATTGTGTTATTGACATCATTCTAATACTAATTAAAAAAACCCAACTCTGTACCAGCTACTAGGAAGAAAATTAACTCCCAGCTGAAACCAGAAAAGTATCAGCTGCTTATTCCATAACTGACATTTATGTCACGCCAGATCCCACACTTCCCAATATACCAGCACCTTTCCGGTGCTGTCTTTTTATAGATGCACACACAGATACCGTTTCCTTTATCTATAGACAATCCCCATAGATGTCTACTGAATTCATTCAGTCCATGACTTTTGGCTTATACAGTCATGACTTGTGAGTGTCATGAAGAGTCTTTCAGGGCAGGAAAGAGGGGGTCTGGTGTTGGATTGGTGCATGTTGAAGCCAGTTCTGATTCCATCACTGCTCTGCTTGTCCCATTACATCAAAGTTCATTCTTAATATGGCAGTTGAAAGGGAGCTGGGTTCACATCCCCAAAGCTGGAGGGGTGGAGACAGGCACCATGAGGTGCCCAGTGCAATTGTGGGCATGCAGCTGATGTAAAAGTACTAATACACAGCATTTCACAGCAATTAACATCACACAATGCACTGGCTATTCAATGAAATCAATGCACAAACCAGACTTGCCCATCCTCCCATCTTAACAAGTGTGCCCAAGTCCTTGAGCAAAAACAATCCCACAGATGAGTTGGCTTTTGCCCAAGGCAGGAACAACCCAAACTGTCTTCTGCAGCACAGTTTTCACGTGCACTACAGGGACTTTATTCTCTTCTACATTAAAAGTTTTGATTGGGCAGGGCCAGCCCACTTGGCAGATGACTCACCAGGTGGCCTTTGCCAATGTGCATCCCAATGTTTAAAGGTTCCCCCTGGCCATTGCTCTCAGTGTAGTCTAATTGGATCATGTGGTTTTCTCAGCTGGTTCATGATACAATATACCCACTAAATGCCATGTTCCTTGGCCCAAGCATCTGTGAGTGTTTTCCAAGTATTTCTAGTTTATTCTGTTGAAAAGGTGTTGCTTGGGGCCCATGTGAAATCATTCTTCTGAATCACTTGATAAAGAAGGCTTACAATCAGACTAGTTCGGAATATGCATTTTCAAAAAAATCCACATCTAAGCTTACATTTTGAGGAAATGGACTAGAATTTCTTTCCATAGGATCAGAAGTAAAGTCAGCCCTTCCACTCTACCTGGGAAACCATCCACTGGAGATGGAAGTAGCAGCTTTCCCGGAAGAACCTCAATTTGGGATTGTTTTCCTTACAATTCATGTCTCTAGGGTCACGGTAGGTTTCCCATCCCAATTCTTCATGCTTTCTCTGTGGTCTCTGAGCTAAACCCACAGGGTATCCCGTGGTGTGTACCTTCCATATCCTCCCTCTTGGGCCAACATTTACTGTCATTAGCATGGGACTGTAGAGGTGAGGAATAGAACAACCTTTTTGAACTGCTGAAACTCCTGGGACAGTTTATCTGATAGTTTCTTCACAGATGAGAGAGGAAGAGAGGTTGTCTTCAAATTCCCAGAGATGGCAAGCCACTGTATCCACAGATGTGATGTCTTCTCAGATTAACGTTGCCAGTGGGTTGGTGTGTACTCTTGGTACACTGTACAAACTTCCACCTCCAAGGAATTGGTCTGGATCTGTGGGGAACCTTGTATTGTCCAGGTCAAAATAAATCTCTAGCATGGCTAATTCCCTCAAGTACTAGATATCTTTCCACTTGCATGGTGACATGTAGTGTCATTCTTGTAAGGATACCTTTCCTTCAGGCTTGACAGGAGCTGCTTCCAGAGGCTGGGGACTTGTGTCTCTCTTGCAATCACCTTGTCAATGCTTGCTTTCTTAGAAAGTGATTCCTTCCCTCTAGTTCCAGCCCATTAGTCCCATTATCCCAGCATTGGAACAGCTAGGTGGTAGGATGCTCATCAGGACAACAGCTGAAATATTTATGTATATCCTGCAGCTCACTCAGGAGTAAGGATTGAGTGGTTGCCTCTTGTTGGCCTATTACTGAAGTCTGTGTAGGTACAGTACATGTCAGTGGGGTTTCGGTTGTCACAGATCATTTCCTAACCCTAAATAAGACCTGAACCAAATGCAACAACACACTGATTGTTACCAAAAGGACCAGGTTGGTTTCAAGGGTAGTCACAGGATATGCAAAGTCTTTAAAATTCTCAAATGCTATTGTAATCATCCTGAGGGGAAGGAACGTGTTTTTCCCATGGGTTGGCTCTCTGAGGGTACAAGGCAGTAGATGTAACTGTGGATAGTTTCCAGCAGATGGCTCCCAAAGGACAGAGGGGACACACACCAGACAGGCTCATGTCATTCTATCATTTCACAAGCCAGGACAACACAGAACAACGCAGTGATAACCTTAGCCCAGGCCTAGAGCAAATGAATCAATATGGTGACCAGCAACTATTAAACCAATGCAATGAAGGCTTATAACAAACTTGTTTTAACATGCTCTAGTCAGATCTGGTCTCATCTCAACCTTTTGAGTCCCACATTGGGTGCCAAAAAGAACTGCCAGCACCTCAGTCAGCAGCTCAGCCTCATGTGGCTGCTTTCTCACTGTCCCCACTCCAGCCCAGTGGGAGAACTGGGAAAAAAAAAGTAAAACTGGTGGGTTGAGAAAACAACAGTTTAATAATTGAAATAAAGTAAAATAAGATACTAATAATACTAATTATAATAAAAACAACAGTCCTATTAATTGTAGTGAAAAGGAGAGAGAGGAGTAAAGCCCAAAAAGGCAAGTGATGCACAACAGTTTCTCACCACCCACGGACTGATGACCAGCCTGTCCCCCAGCAGCAGCTGGCTCCTCCTGGCCAACTTCCCCAGTTTAAATACTGGGAGCGACGTTCTGGCATGGAGGTAGTCACCAAGCACCAAGCCTGTTTGAGTTCCAGAAGTGTTTGGACAACATGGCAGGCACATGGTGTGGTTCTTGGGGTGTCCTGTGCAGGGCCAGGAGCTGGACTTCATGATCCTGATGGGTCCCTTCCCACTCAGCTAATTCGATGATTCTGTGATTCTATGCATATCCCTTTGGACAACTCAGATCAGCTGTCCCAGCTGTGCCCTGTCCCTGCTTCTTTCTGCACCTCCTCACTGGAAGACCATGGGAATCTGAGGACTCCTTGACTTGGAGTAAGCACTACTCATCAGCAACTAAAACATCAGTGTGTTATCAACTTTATTCTGATATTAAATCCAAAACACAGCTACTATGAAGAAAATTATCCCAGCTGAAACCAGGACATTGATACTTTTGTATAACAAGTAGTAATTTGATGTCCCTCACAGAGGCTGAAATCTTCTAAATAACAAAGGACTTGGTGTGCTTGAAATCCTAAATGAAGCAAACAAGGTTACAATAAATAATAGTTCAAAGATTTTAAACAGGTTAATATTTAGTGTACATTTCAGAAGAAACTAAGGCACTGAGCTTGACAAGAAATGTGTCTGATGTACGGTTACTAAATGTTCTTTTCTGAGATGGGAGGTGTACAAAATGGACTCTACGCAGAAGTAGCAACCTATTCATAAATTCAGGTATCAAACAGCTCTGTTCAGAGCATCAGATTTTTAAGTGCATTAACAATGATAAACAGATACCACAGCTCTTCAAAGCTTTATCTTTCTCACTCAGAGCAAACAGTTGGTCTCAGGAAGTTTCTTATATACATGCTAGGTCAAGGATTAAGCTTATGCAATTTAGTATGTTCTGTTTTGATTAAGAAAATGGGTGGTGTTCAGGGATCTTTTAAGGTTACATCAGTTTACTCATGCTACTTTAACTCCTCTTGTCCTTAAACTGTAGATAGTGATGTTAAGTCACTTCTAGTTGAAATTTTACTTAGAACTCTATTCCTTTTGCACCAATCTGAAAAGCTGGAACCAAGTATTTAAAGCCCTTTGAGCTGACTCAAGGAAGTGGGGTGGAAGTAGTAAATTCAGCTTCCATATTTCAAGTCTTTTGACTCACATTATTCTTAGAAGAGTTAGGGCCCAATCTTTCTCTCACTGCTGTCTTGGACTGTGTCTCAGTTAGTTAATCAATATGTACAAGAAGATGCAAAGTATGGAGCAAAGTGTTGCACTTAAGACCATGCAATAGGAAGCTGTAAATGCAGATAAAGTGTTGCCAGGTATGGGCACAGCAGGAGTGAGGAGTGTGTGCACATGTGGAAAGACATTACAGATCTAAGGAACTTTGAAGATATTTAAAGCTTTTAAAACACACTAGTGAACACAAAAAACTTGCCTTTTCACTTGTAGATTGATAGTTTGTCTTCTTTCTGTTAACAGAGCAGGAAAAGAATACAGGTTAAAAAGTTACTTTTCTGGTGTTGGGTTTACCCCTTTGAGAGCCTTATATATGAAAGCATTTTTCCAGATTTCCAGCAATCCTCAGGGATTTTTCCCCTCCTCTTAGAAAAAAACTTACAATAACAAATCCATTGAATACTTTTAGATAGCAGTCGTTATCTCACAAACCACTGCCAAACAGCTTCTCTAGCTTGTCTTTCCAACTCTTCCAGTTACACTTTTTGTCTAGCTCATGGCCAGAACTAAAATAGCTTGAGGAATCCTGACTTATTACTAAGAAATTTGAGTGAAAAAAATCCAAATCAAAGGAATAGACCAGGCACTGTCAGAAAGTTTCTACCAGTTATATTTTTACAAAACACTTCCTGAAATAACTTGGAGATACGGATATGAGAGCAGATCAATTTGGTTCTGATAATTTTTTGTCTAGTTTGAAGAGGAGACACATGAATAGCTGAGTTAGAAGTGTAAGCTGTAACTATGTAAAAAGACACATCTCTCTGTATTTACCACAGCAATGTAATGATTCACTTTCTGACCAGCACACTGGTTTCTATTAAGGAAACCAGCTAGTGTGTAGGATCAGGTTTATCTCAGCATCAAGAAAGCTATTGCAAAAAATCACATTAGAAAGGCTAAAAAAATCATTAAAAATCATTAGAGTTACTAAATCATCTGAAATGTAAATGAGGTTTGCAGTGATTTATGTACTGCTTGCATACTTACTGGGAAGAACTTTCCTCTGAAAAAGAAAGGAAAAAATAAAAAGGATTAGCACAAGAACAGTTTTCTTAGCTGTTTTAAAGTTCTTTGAAATAGTTATTTCTAGAATATTCAGCTCTTCAGTTTCTAGAAGGAGTTTCTGAACCAAATGTCTCTTTTTGTTGTAGTGAGTTTAGGCAGAAGAATGATTAAGTTTCAAGGGTAAATGAAGCCCCAAGTGAACTCTTAACGAGCAGCTCTGCAGCCCCTGGTAATTTCAGGCAGCTGACCTTTTCAGACCCCATGTTTGGCATCTATTGTTGCTGTGCTCAAGCCTATAGGTTCCAATGTAAAGGCTACAGAGAGGGTTGCTGGATGTTAAGCTTTATGCAGCAATCCTTAAAAGCAAATTTTTTCCATGACCCAGAGGAAGAAGACAGTTAATTTAGTTTCCCTTTCATCAGAACTTAGTTGGTCAGGCACTGTTGACTAAAACAGGATTAATTTTATTTTGCCTATTTTGCCTTTCTTAGGCATTCCTTATCAAAACTAGGGTGGAGAGGTTCCACGAACCAGAGTGAGGCTCATTGCTTTCCCTAGGTTGTTGTTTGGTAGCCTTAGCACAAACATCTCCATGTCATTTTCAAAGTACCTTTTGCAGTAGATGTTGTCAGAATAAAAATGTCTGCACAAAATATTGCTGTTTTAATGCTCTCCAGCTTTAGTACCACAGAGTCAGATCCTTTATGGAAAGGAGGGCATCATCAGAATCATAACATCATGGAATGGTATGGGTAGGAAGGGACCCTAAAGACCATCTGGTTCCAGCTCCCTGCCATAAGCAGGGACATTTTCCACTAGGTCTGGTTGCTCAGGACTCCCTCCAACCTGCCCTTGAACACTTCTAGGGGATGGGGCACCCACAGTTTCTCAAGGCAAGAGAGAGTGTCATGGAAACACTGCTAAATAAAGACATTTTTGGACTCAAGGAAGGAGTGATTTTATTCTACTTACTTGCAAAGTAGCCTTTTTTTTGGGCATAGAATACTCCAAGGCCACACAGCACCATCACCAGAGCCACAATTACTACAGCCACAATGATACCGCTTACATTAAGGTCATCTGTAATTATAAAGCAGAAGTCCTATGTTGTAAATTGTAGAAATTTCACTGGCTGGATTTTTCCCTAATTACCACAGGCATTTTTGTATCTATCAGTGATATAGATACAAAAATATCTATATATTTGGCTTTGGCCCAAGATGCATAAGTTAGTTGGTAAGAGTTAGATGTATTTAAGCAGTAAAAGAGCACTAATGTGCCACAGCTATTTTAACACAAGTGCTTGGTACACATCAGCTGCTTAGTTTGGTTCAAAAGTAAGGAAAGAATAACAAGGACCAAGGGATACATATTCCTTACCATATCTACCCCAGATAAGTATTACCCAAGTCATATGTCTCTGAGGAAAAACATCTTGAAATTTTTGTAAATGTTAAGCAAGTTTTTTCATATAGTTTATTTGCTTAACACAACTGAAACAGCTGATGGCAATTGAGTTCCACTTCTAAAGAACTCTTCAAATTAGTTTTTGGAAACGCAGTGATTTTTACATTTTTAAATAGCAAGGCTTTAAAAATACAACACAATAAAGCTGAGTTGCCTGAAGTTAAACTCTACACCAGGCTACTGAAACATCTGGCCATATTTATTTTTAAGGTGATGGCTTGACTTCAACCATGACAAAGACCACACCCATATCCTGATATACTCACTAAGAATTTCAGACTATCATACATTTTAGGAAAACCAAAATTATCAAGAAGCAGAAACATTTTCATAGGTTTTTGTTATGTTTCCAATTATTTGGATCCCAACTTTAAGCATATTTCGATATATAGTTGAGATCTTTACCCCAAAACCCCACCAAATTTTTGTACAATTTAGGCTGACAACAATTTAGGTCTTAGTGCATATTTTCACAAAGTGATTCTATCTCAGTAGCTTGAGGAACATTTGCTCATAATCCACCAAGAATGCAATAAAACCCATGACATGATTTTCAGCTAAGTTCCATGAAAGCACCATATGGAACTTTGCAGTTCCATACGCTTGGACAGGATCTTCCCTGCAGTAGTTACTAGGATTTGTTACCATTTGCTTTCCTATGATATCTGCAAGAACCAGTTGTGTATTTTGCAAAAAAACTCCTCACACATTTTGGGTTGTTACAGACTGTTACATTAAGATTTCTCATGAATGAATCCCAAAAGGGAGGCTTTATGTGAAGAAAACACCCCAGTGGACTGGCACACTCTTCTGTAAATCTTCCACAAAAGCATTTGGAAATATTAAAGTTCTCATATGGCTGATGATTTTCTGTGAATTCAGTGTTTGGCAATCTAAAAGCTAATTACTGCAATAAGGAACTTATTTCTCCTCCCCCCAAATGCCATAATCAAATAAAAATATTTAAATCAATCTGGTCTTAGATTCTTAGTTATACCATGCAATTACATAAATCCTACTGCAAGACTGTTTTCCACTATTATTTTCTTTAACACTTACCAACTTGCATTCGCTTCACTGAGCATTTCTGAGATAATCCAATCCCATTGGAGGCTTCACAAAAATACTCTCCAGTGTCATTCTTTGTAACTGTATTAAACAGCTGTTAAGAAAGAGTCCAAAACCATTATCAGAACAGGGGAAAAAATCCTGTAAGATAGAAATTTTGACATGTCAATGTAGATTTGTTTGTTTGAAATGAAACCCAAAAATGAAACCCAAATGAAACCCAAATGAAACCCAAAAAACCCTGAAGGCAAGTAAAAAATTCTGGTCCATTTCAACCTTGTAACAGCTCCCTAGTCGCATTCCCTGATCCTTCAACTTCTGCTTGTTGCCTAAGAGGTTCCTTTAGATGGACATTTAACTCAGTGGAGTGTATCTACAAGTGTATAATTTTCAGTGGACCAGAACTTTCCAATAATATCCACTATTTTAGATATGCTCTAATTTCAGAATTCCTGAAATCAAACAGTTTCTTCATTTTATCAAAACAACAACCCCATTTACTGATCCTTCAAAAAACTTGATGCATACTGCTTACAATGCATTGTCAACTGAAATTTTTCAGAAGCAAAGAGTTGTTTGGGTGGTTCTCAACACTCCAAAAATGCACTTTGTCTTCTTCCAACAGAGAAATGCTAAACCATACTATTTCTGAAATAGTACCACTGTAAAAATGAAAATTAAATGAAAATGTGAGTGTAGCAGGACATCTCCCCCCACCACAGAAGAGCTAATCTGATGCCTGTTAGTTGGTGCAGTAACTCAGAGCATCTTGCTTTCACATGAGCCTCACAGGAGCCTTGGTGAAGTACCTCAATCAGGACAATTTTTCTTGTGGTGAATTATTTCATCGCCATGGGATTGATGCTTTTAAACATCTTGCTGTGGAAGCAGACATGGAAAGACAAGCTGGAATTTCTGACTGACATACACTTCACTTTCCAAATTGTAAAAGCTACACCATATTTTCACAAGGCAGAAATCTTCTGCACATTCTCTGGAAATGCGTGGGGTCTCCCCGCCAAAGTCAGGACGCCAGTTTGTGGTTTCTCTCCTGGGGGCTGAGTGTAAGGACTCTGTCTACGCTATCACCAATTCGGTGGTAAGTTACACTGACTCCTAACCTATACTATTTCCTTGCCAGCTGTAGTATAGGTACCTTAATGTCATGCACGGTTTTAGGTAACCTACTAGTAGTTCTTTTATTTTGCACTGTGAAATAAATAACTGTTTAAGGCCTCTTGTCTGTTACTTTCTGCCAATTCAATCACTAACTCATTTTATAATAGACCTAACTGTCCACTCTTAAGAACTTGTAAGCCAGAGCAATTTAGGTGCAGGTCACCTAAGTAGAGCTGCTGCAAAAAATCTAAGCCTAAGGCAGGGCTCTTCTAAAGCTCTCACTTGATCTGTAACAGAGATGAATAGAAACGGACCTCATATCAATTCCAGTATTTCTATTTTCCTAATTATTAGACTTCTTAACTGTTTCTTTTTAATGTATGCCATACTTTGATATTTTGAGAAGTGATTAGTAAGTTTGAGCATCCATCTGATTTCCGTGATGAGCATTCAGAACATCTGAATGCTTAGTCATACTTCAGTTTCCATGTTTGATTTTGCACAAGAGTAGTGCTCCTAGAACAACTCTTTACTTCTGAAAAATCTCAGCTCCCTAAGCAGCATCAAGCTCTTTTGAAGGATCAGCTAACGGGGGACGAATGAGAGAGACACACAACCCACAAAACAAACTGCAACAAAAATGAAGAACTAAGCTTACTTACAGTCCCAACTCATTCCCCTCTGACTTCACAGGTCCTGGATGGGAACTTGTAAATGGCACTGGATTGTAGAGATTCTGTACTGCCCTGAGTGCTGCACTCCCCTTGAAGTGTATGAAGCTACTATTCCAAATTTTAAGGTTCTGTCAAATAGATCTCTATTGCCATACCAAAACCTCATTCTCACCTGGCACTAGTTTAACAATTGACAAGGTAAAATTTGCCATGTATTTCTAGATTCTCAGTTATCACTACTGCAGCCTTGCACCTCACCCAGTTTGTGTGTATCATTCAATGTCTATGGCTTGTCACTGTTTTGAGGCAGAAACCACCTTCTACATTTCTCAGCACATTTGAGCATGACATTGACCTCTAACAAAAACCTTGTGAATTTTTGGATTTAGACTCCTGTGGATCATTCTACTGAACAGTAAATTTCATCTCCTTGATAGCTGTCTATGACAGAGTTGGTTATTACACTTACCAGAGTGCCAGACTTTTTATTCATGGTGTACGTTATGTTTGCTGCTCTAGCACTGCCTGTTCCTGTCTTCTCCAGCAAGGCAACACCATTCTTGTACCACTGGTACTCAGATGGAGGGGAGCCCTCAGTTTCCTTACAACTCATCTGCACGACCGTTCCTGTCATTGCGGAGCTGGGTACCTCACACACTGGAGTAGTCGGAGCAACTGGACAGTGAAACTGAACTTGTTACACATGCACTTATACTGTCCACACCTGTCAGAGTCTCAAATAGTTCATGTCTCAAACATTGATATAAAGTTTTGCCCATTATAACAAAAACTGTATAAAGAAGCTACAACCAAAGAAGCCTCCCTGAAGATACCTGACTGGGACTTTGGACTGAAAGTCAAAGTGCTGAGATTAAATAAAGTGAAAACTCATTCTTCAAATCACCTGAAACAAGCAAGTAAACAAGGAAAAGAGTGTGAGCCAAACCCAGCTAAAAATAATCTCAGGCTTGCTTTGGGGTGAGGGAGGCCGTAGCCTGTCACTGATGGTGGAGACAGGAATGTGACATTTGGAACACAGCGAGGCTCATGCAGCAACAGCCAGAGTTTATTGATGTGTGCCCTCTTTGTGAGGGCTTTGAATTTCCCCTGCTTACAGATATTATTGGTCAAAGGTCTTAACTCTGCCCAGCTCACTGGCCAATGATACAGGTGCATTCCTGGTTCAAAGGGCTGGGGTCCCCTTGTTTGAACTTGAATTCAGCCTATCAACTTAAAACTGGGGACTCGTTTACTCCTTATTCTCTAAGGAGCTAGGCTGGTCGAGTTGGTATCTGTTACGGCCTAATTATCTGTGCAGCCATAGACCAGCTATAGCTGTCACAGTAGCCCAATGACCCATTTGTTGGGAGCAGGTTTGCACAGATTTCCCCCCAAGGTGAGGTGGGGGAGGAAGTTTTGGTGTGTTGTAACCTCTGCTCAGGGGCAGGGAACCCATCCTCCCTTACACAAACTGGCCATGGAACCCCCAGCCTTGGGAAGGTCACATCCATGGGACATTCACGTGGTGCCTTAATCCATCAAAGGCCCCTAAAGTGCTCCCCAGTGTCATTCCTGAAGCCTTGCACCCCAGGACGGCACATGATGCAACAAACCCAGTCTGTTGTAAGGGACAGTGGCAAACTCCCCCTGCCCCCCAAGGGAGGAGCCTGGATTTTCCCACCTAGCCTGAGTGTATATTAACCAATCAGATTCTATGCTTTTCTTCTTCACCACCAAGAAGACCCAGCTGGAGAAGATCCTTGAAACATTACTGGGATCCATGGAGTTATGGTGTTTTCCTTATTTTGTCCCTGTTACTCTCAGTCCCTCCCACCTATTTCTTATTTTTCTCTCTCTCCTCTCATATATTTACTATTAAATAAACCCCCCTACTATTGTCACTGTCATTTGATCTCATCTGCACCTTGATATGGGCAGGGGCACTTCTAAGAACTTTACTAATGGGATCATGACAACATGAGGGCAGGCTGACAGTCATTGTGAGAAGCTGAGCACTTGGTAACTACTACATCAATGAAATGAAGTGTAGGAGAAGGGCTGGAAGGCACAACCCTGCTACTGAGAGCACAGTAAAATTTATGAGTTGCTAAAAATGAAAGAGGTGCTTACTGCCAGCCTCCCCCCACCATATGCTGTGTCATCCTCTCTCCAATCTGTTCACTTTCATCCAACCCCAGAGAGTTTGTTTCACTTTGTTTCTTGTATGCAACAGACAGAGATGGGATAACATGGAATCTGTAGTCCAGCAATTGGCCCCTTCCCTACCCTAGTATTTAAAAACAGAAGTGAAGAAGAGAAAAAAAGATTTTTTGTATTAAAAGGAGTAAATTTTTGAGAGGTGAATGTCAGAAAGATTCACCGAGACATTGGTTGTCAGCATAGCCACTTTATAAACCTCAGTCTGAGGACCAAAAACCAATTGGTTACTACATTCCAGTTTAAATTAAAAATGAACATTCCCCCACAGAGATGCAGGAGAACTGTTTGTTCCTTCTCCTATGAAGATGAACATCTCTTTTTTGATTTTTAATATGTGAACAGAAAAGAAACTTAATTTTTTATTTTTTGGTACTTAATATTATATAGAAGAAAAATAATGGTGAAGAGGCATCTGTGGAACATTAAAAGAACAGCTGACACCTTAACTAGTATTGATTGTTTTTTCTTGGTTGATTTTAAGATAAAAAGCAGAAATAAAGAAAACTAAATTAAATACTAATTCACATTAACTTTCAAAAGGTTTGTAAGCAACACATGTGTCATCCCCCCCCACTTTATCCTTTGGTCTTGAAGACTTCAACTTTAAATTAAGAAGCCACATTTAAAACAGGAAAGCTGTTGAGAAAGTAGAAGAAAGTGGGGTTACCTCATTGCTGATGCTACTCAGAAGTTCATGCATTTATCATCTTTTATGAAGAACTTAGAAACTACGCATAATTTTGAATGATCAATTATTATTAGTTTTAATAGGACAGATATAGAATCTACAAAAGCAAGTATTTTCTTTTGTCCCTGTACAGGTAAAAAAGGAAAACTATTGGCCTCTACCACTCATCCAGTGAAACAAATACCAAATGCAATGTGAGAGCAATGTGCTCAATATTCACTCTTCCATAAATTCCTTAACAGGGAAAGAAAACAAAGACCCACAAAGAACAACTGCTCCCCAGTAGGGCACCACCATCTCTCCTGTAAATAAAGTCTACTGATTGCCAGCTCTCTGGCTGGCATTGCACAAAAACTCTCTCCTTCCAAAACCAGGACGAGACTGTAGCATCTTGGAACGAACTTCTGCTTATGAATATTTGATAAGTACTGACAGATGTTGACTTTCCAGTGCCAAACACCATGATCATCTTATCCAGATTCTCAGTCACTGAGCAACTTCAGTTTTGAGACCTGAAACTCACTTTGACTTAATAAAACCCTAGTTATGTCCCTTTCTAAAGCAAGCGTGACTTTTGCCAAGCTGTTTTGTGATGTTGTAGAATGTCCATGTGCAAGTGTGTTTATAAACCCAGCCCGAAGGGGACCCAAAAACCCGGCACCCACACACTGTGTGGCAACCCTACCTTCAACATCCCAACACCCCATCATCCAGTTCCTCTAAAAAGCCTAAGTAATAAAGTTTGTACCCAATACTGTGAGAGTAATAGTAGCCTCTCCCAGGCGTTGCCCCTCTTCACTCTTGGCACTGATTTCACAGCGGTAGGTCCCAGAATCCCTCCTAGTCACGTTCCTAATTCGGATTCCTGTGTTCAGCATCTCTGCTCGGCCTCGGAGATCACCTTCAGGGAGAACAGACAGAGAGGTTTCTGCTCTTTGCTTACAGAATCACAGAATCACAGAATCACAGAATCACAGAATCACAGAATCACAGAATCACAGAATCACAGAGTGGTTTGGATTGGAAGAGACCTTGAAGATCATTTTGTTCCATCCCCACTGTCATGGGCAGACACCTTCCACCAGACCAGGTTGTTCCAAGCCCCATCCAGCCTGGTCTGGAACATTTCCAGGAATGGGGCAGCCACAGCTTCTCTGGGCAACCTGTGCCAGTGCTTTACCATCCTCATAGGGAAGAACTTCCTTTGTATATTTCCTCTGTACATCTAACCTAAATTTCCCCTCTTTCAGTCTGAAGCAAATATCTATAGTCTATTGGCTTATTCTGAAATAATGTACAATTTATCGATATTTTGTGTCATATTGTACATGAAACTATTGCTCATTAGTTCAGTGTTAATTACCTGTCAGCAAAGAGCAATATGTAATCCCCTTCTGAAAACAGCATGAACCTTTCATTTAGTCCAAAAAACTACCCTCAATTCAAAAAACCTCCATCTGCCATACATTATCCACTTGGAAGATGGAATGCATTTTTCTGCAGGTGTTTCAAGAAAATATGTATAGCAGTAGTGAGGTGACTGAAAGACATCCCTTTCCACTAGAGACATGGCAATCACTAACTTAATTACCTTAAAGAAAAAGTTGTGAGTGAGACCACAGCAGAGTATTTGACATTTTAACTTGGCAAGAAAAACTTGATGGATTTAGCAAAAATACTGCCATCAGACTTCTAACAATAAAGAAGTTTTTGTAATTCTACAGTTTATTATGAAAGTTACATGCACACACAGAAGCATGAGTTTCAGTGTTTCTCTAAATTACATGCAGAAAAAAACCAAGTTCATCAAGGTCAACACATCTGCAAGCTCTACAAACTAACAAAATCTCTGTGCTTTTATTTTACTTCTCAGCCTTCATTTATTGTGATCAGTGTAACAGAGACCCATATGTTCTCCAACATACAAAGCTTAAGTAAGTCCTTTTCAAAACATACAAAGAGAAATTCTACTTCTGAAAAGAACACAAATAATTTATAATATACAGCTGAGTTTATATTTTATGTATATAAAAAATGCTGAATTATTAATATCTAACCTCCTGCTTTACAGGAGGCTTCAGAAACCTCTTTTTAGGATAGGAGTGCAGAGCCTGCAGTAGTTTAGGGGAGTTTACATCCACATGTAATTTCATTGTTGAAAAATCACAAGAAATCTGCAGTATCATTTTTTTAGCCTTTAATTTTATTATATTTAACTTAATTAAAAGGTAACTAATAATTGATGATTTTAGAAATGGCTTTTTTACCCCAGAGAAGAGTTCTCTTTCTCAAAACAACAGCTCTTCTATATGAACAGCCAAGAGCCTTCTTGTTCAGTCTTATTGGTGTTGTTCCCCAAGAAAGAGTCAATAGCTATGCTAGAGAATGACATGTTAAACCATCCATTTGCAGTACTGTACCTGTAAATTCACTGTTGTAGTAGACAAATGAGACTCCTTGAGATTGGATTTTCTTCCACTCTATTCTTAAACTCATCCCTTTTGAAAATTTGTGTTTGCAACTAAGAATAGCCTCTAGAGGGAAGAAAAAAAATAAAGACAAAAGGGAAAATTAGAGATTTTAGTATTGTGTTGATATACATTCAGGTTCCATAGAATTCATGTTCCTCCTTCAAAAGAACTTGTACAGTCAGCAATGGCCAGATCTACTTCTCAAAGTGATGTTTCTCCATATTTACACAAACACAGTAGGGAAAAAGAAACCAGTAATTTTCTTATACTTCAGTGTCTTTTGGATCAAACTTCAGATGCTGGGGATTCCCATGCTGAATAGGGTTTACGACTTTCCCCATCTAACATGGGAATATCTACTTTATCAATTACATTTTTTATTACTACCCTCATTTTAGTTTAAACAATTCCGAGCAGATCGCCCCTAAAAAGGGGGACTCTGATTTTGTTGTAAACATATTTTTTGAGTTACCATTCTGAATTCAGTATCAATAGCTTTTTAGTTTAAATGTACTACTTAATGGAGATGAAAAATATTGCAGTAAGATGGTTTAAGAAACAAATGCAATATAGACCTTGCTACCTGTAAGCTACTAATTTTCCATTACAGGCCACAATATCCAGACCAAAAGCCTTTATAGGTTTGACAAGGCCTGTCTAGCTTTCATAATGCCAACATGCACTGCCCAAACACAATCAACCATCATCCTCCTTTCCAGTCTAAACAAACGAGGCTGGAAGGTAATTAGGAGCTACAGACAGATCTACTCCCTTGCCCTTCAGAGTCTGATTTCCTAGGTCTGTTCTGAAAAGAAACAAAAACCCAGACTGGTAGCCTTGGTGATACCTCACAGGGGAAAAAAAATATCCAGACTTGAAAGAAAAATTGAGGCAGGAGGGTGTTCCTTGCCAGAAACATGTTACACGTGCACTGGCTGTTTTGAAAAACATACTGTGCACTCAGGAAGTCTGAGGTTCCTGACTTCAGGTTGAGTGTATGGGTGGAGGCTTCCTGAATCTTAAGATTTGCTAGTTTCCTTCCCACTTTGTTTTTTGTATTCTTCTAACAAAGAAAAACCATCATTCAAGCTCAGCTTGCTTTTGCTACTGGCCTTGTGTCAGCTGGCTTGTCAAATGGGCTGGTCTCTATTAGCTGACACAGAGACAGCTCAGCTGAAGTGTTCTCAGCTGAACAAGTCACCTCTGTCTCAAATGAGCTGTCCCTTTCTTGCATCCCACATGTTTTGGTTTCAGAAAAAAACCCCAGCACTGATGCCCACTCACTATTCTTATTCAGAGAAAAGGAATGCATGGGAGAAAGGGAGTGTGCACAGAACAGAGAGAACATAATAAAATTGTCCTTAGTTATAGCTCCCCTCTCCTGCTTTTTCCCCTGATAATAGAGTCAGGGAGAGGCATTTTCCAGACTTGCATTAAGGTAGGTCCACTGGATACTGTGCATCAGCACTGGTATTGCTAGGCCTGCAAAAACCCTCTGGAATCTTGGAGAGGTCTGCACAACATTTAATTTGGATTTACATCTGGTCTGGAGGCTATCACTGGTGATAGAATTATAGAATATCTCAAGTTGGAAGGAATGCCAAGAATCAGTGAGCCCAACTCCTTGCTCCTTGCAGAACTACCTGGAACAAAACCATGACTAGGAGTGTCACCTAGAGCTTGGTACCATGACCACTCCCCTGGGGAGCCTGACCAGAGCCTGACCATCCTCCTATACAGTGAGAGGAGTTAGAGGAGAAAAGGAAAATGCATTTCAGACCAGCTATGCTCAGTGGAATAACTGTCTATTGGCCCTACCATTCCTTGGTGCTGCTACACATGGAGAACTTGGCTTGGCATCTGGGCTGTGCTAAACTGATTCCATTCAATGTACAAATCACAAAAGAAAAAATGCAAGCCATATACCATATAAAAATACAGAGCCTAATCAAGCTTTAATATTAGCTGAAGCATTTCTCTCTGCTTTTGCCAGCCTTGAGCTCTAAATGCATTCTGTCAAGAGAATAGTTAACAGAAGTCCAGGTGACAGTTTTGGAGACCTCTAAAATATTTGATTATTACCTGAATAAGGTTTAAAGTTTATTACCTTGAATAAGGTTTAAAGCTCAGAGAACAGTTTTTTTGATCCCAAATTCCCACCTCTCTCCACTCCAAGCAAATTCAAAAAACAAACCCACATAACTCACAAACCTCACACGACAGTACTTCCCTTTCTCATCTACCCAGCAAACAGGTTTTCCTCTTTTCCTCTGCAAATTCTCCACCTCATTATTGGAAGTAATTTGCTATTTTATATATGACATATATATATACATATATAACTATGTAAATAGCCATTACAGCTACTGACAAGTAAAAATAGCCATTAAATTATTGTTACTTACAATTAACTAACTTATATCTGTTCTTTCTAGTCTTTCACTTTTCTGTCTTTTAAGATATTTAATGTTTCTCCTTTCCATCGGCTCCCATAATATTGTGTGGTGTGGAAGAAAACCAGGCAGAAGTTACAGGACTGACAAACAAGTCATAGAACCACAGAACAGGTGAGGTTGGAAAGGATCTCTGGGGAGCACCTAGGTCAACCTCACCTCGAGTAAGAGAAAATGGGGACAAGACCAAGATAGTGCAGAATCAGTGGAGAGAGTAAGGAAGGAGCAAGAATACCTCAATATCTGCACAGCTTCTGTACACACAGTTTGCATGTATTGTGTATATATTAAAAACTACCACAACAATGCCCATACTGTACCTTTAAACTCCTCTGCTTTTACATTTTTGTTATCTGTTTCAATGGAGATTCCAGACACATCAGGATCTGCAAAGGGACAGCAAAAAAAGACAATTTAGCAATAAACATTTGTGATTTCACACAAAGCACATTGCTTGTGCTTTGGCAGCTACAAGCAACATTTTTGAGACCTCCTCACACTGTACAAGTTAGACATTGCCTACAAAAAAGAGTACAAACTAAGAGCTAGACTAGGGCTGGCCTTGAACAGTTCATCTTTTTTCTCCAGGTTCTGGCATTTGTAAAAAATAAGTAATTATTTTTTGCAATGGCATAATGACATTAACATGTAAGAAGTTCTATATAACCAGAAAAAATTTTATGCTATGGTAATTTCTGTTTATAACTGGGGAGACATCCATTAATCTATAAGTGTATTTTCCATAGCAGTCTTATTACAAGGCATGCATATTTTCTGAAGAATACCACTTACAGTTTCTACAGGGTAAAAAATATGTACAGTAATTGGCAATTATCTCAAATTCTTCTTGAAATGGGAAGGAAGATAATAAAGATTTATCTAGTTTTAACTCAAAGAAAGAAAAAATCCCTATATACTCTTGGATATTGTTGGAGGAACTGCAGGGGGTTCTTCTAAAATAGATGGCTGAGGATGGAATCGTGTGAAACGAGGCAAGTATTCTATCTGAGAACCATTTATTGATAGTGAAAAGGATGTTGCCCTACTAAGGAAGAATAGAAAAGACAGAAAATGAACAAGGAGAAGGAAGAAGAATGGGCAGAGAAAGAGAGGGGGGGTGACTGAGAGAAAAAATGGGCGTTAGCAGCAGAACCTCAGAGTGGGCCATCAATGTCCAGCTAGTCAGGGCTAAATGATGAAAAGCTCCAAAGCTTGTGACACAGTAGCTTTTATACTCCTTGCTCCTCCCAAAATCTGCAATGCTGAGAGGAGAGGAGATCATTGGCCCAGTCTAACATTCCAGAGCAGCCCAATGCCCTCTCACCATCTGACTGGAGAACCTCTCTGGAGGTCAGTGTCCCTGGTGGCCTCCTACTGACTGCCCATTATATGTGAGGTGTGAGATGGCTGCCAGGCAAAGGCTCCTGAAAGAGGGGGCTTTCCATCTTTTCCTAGCTGCCTCCTGCTGATAGTGAAAGATTTTAAAATCACAGAAAATTCGGGGAGCTAGAAAGAAAGTTAGGCTTAGTAGGCCCTGGGAAAATGTTAAGGGTAGGCCCTAGGAAATGTTAGGCCTTGTGTTTGTTAGATCATGTGAAACTGCACCTCTGTAATCAATATATGATAAATGATATGATTGTTAGGTGTGATGATTACTTAATAATTAGGTGTAATTATTGTTTAATCATAAGAAGAGTCATGAGAAACTATGTTTGAGGGTCTGAGGCAGATCACAAGAAATCCATGCTCGGATGAAATCAATGTATACAATAGAACAATGTAAGTTTAATAATTATTATGTAAGTCATATAATGATAGAATACAAAACACGTTCAGCTGGAAACCATGTCAGAGTCAGATTTGGGTCTGTACCCCTGACACCCAGATCTTTTAAATAAAAGCACCTGCATATAATCACTCTGTGATTATGTGCTCCTGAATGCTAACATTGCAAGTAGCACTTGTACAGCCCCTCTCCCCACACCTCTGGTGATTTCAAACAATATTGAGACAGAACTCGGAATTAAATTGGTTCTTCACACTCATGTATTGGGAACACTGAAATTCCAGAAAGAGCAAGTGAAATAACCACTAGACCTATATCAACCCCCACCCAGCTACCAGGAGTTGGGCACAGGTATTACAATTAATCCACATCAGACTAGCAAGTGCTTAACAACAACTGAACACAGGTCTACTTTTTTTTTTTTTTTTTTCCCAAAAGCATCTCAAGTTCTCTTGGTTTAGTACTAATTTTGAAGGTGCACAGACACTTCTACTAGACAATGCAGTCTATTTCCTCCGTCTGCATCAGCCAACTGAACAATTGCTATAGTGGATATGGACAAGAACTTGGAACCTGTTTCCATCAATATTTAGAAACTTGACTTGGTTAAAAATAATTTTATTTTGACTGATAGAAACTAGGAAATAGCAAGATTAGATGTTCTTAAGCCCACAAACTTCCTTCGTCCATCCCTAATTAATTTATCTTTCTCCTGCTTAATGGGGGAGGAGTTGCACACACCCTAGCAAATGAATATCTAGTCTTGACCTGAAGACACAAACAAATTAGCAATTTCTTGATTCTTATGGCTTTCTTTTAACAGTTGATTACTTTTGTTGAAATTAGTGCCTCACTTCTGCCTTGAGTGAATCCATTTGGGCTTTCAGTGCTCAAAGTTTTGTTTGTTTGAAGATATCATAATGGAATCTCAGAGTGGTTTGTGTTGGAAGGGATCTTTAAAGGTCATCTAGCTCAAGCTCCCTGCAAATGAGCAGGAACATCTTCAACATGAGTAGGTTGCTCAGAGCAGTATCCAGACTGACCTTGAATGTCAGTGTTTCACCACTCTCACTGTAAAACCTTTCTTCCTTATATCTAGTCTGAATCAACCCTCTTTTAGTTTAAGCCATTATCCCTTGTTCTAACCCACAACAGGCCCTACTAAAAAGTTTGGCAAGATCTTTAAGTCCCCTGTAGGTACTGAAAGGCTGCAATAAGGTGTTCCCAGAGCCTTCTCTTTCACAGGGTGAACAACCCAAATTTTCTCAGACTATATTCACAGGAGGCATGCCATATCCCCAAGATCATTTTAGTGGCCCTCTGGACTTCTTCCAATAGCTCCATGTGCTTTCTATGCTGGGAAGCCAGAGCTGGAAGCAGCCTTGCAGGTGGGGCTTCACCACAGTCGGGCAGAGGGACAGAATTCCTCTCTTTCCTGCTGCCATGGGATTTTGGAGGCAGCCCAGCACACAGGGGGTTCTTGGGCTCCCAGTGCAGCCTCTCACCCACCAGCACCCCCAAGCCCTTCTGGTAGGGCTGCTCTGTTCATCCCCCAGCCTGGATTGATACCAGGGGTTGACCCAGGTGAGCACCTTGAATTCAGTCTTTTTAAACCTCATGACATTCCAATGGGCCAGTTTTTGAGCTAGTCCAGGTCCTTTTGGATGACAATCAAATCCTTCAAGTGCAGCAACAGCACCACTCATCTTGGTGTCATCAGCAAATCTGCTGAGGGTGCACTTGATCCCTTTGTCTATGTCAATAATGAAGACACTAAACAGCACTGATCCTGTACACCAGAGTACCCTATCACAGTTTTCTTCTCAATTAAAGATCATTCCTTACGGTTTAAGTCCGACACAACACAGGGAATTCTTCATTCATTCTGTTCCTATGGCCTTTTTCCTCCTTAATTTTCTGGAGTTTTTTTCAGCATCCTTTAAAAATACAAATTACAGTTCTACAGGTGTCTATAACCACTGCCTCAGAGTCATGGAGCACCACTCAGAAATGAGGCCCAGGCACTGTAGCAAGAGTTCATTCACTGTATATTGTGGTGGCTTGACCTTGGGTGGCTGCTGGACACCCACACAGCTCCTCCTCCTCAACATGACCAGGGAGAAAATTAGATTAAAAAGCTCATGGGTCAACAGAAAGACAGGGAATCAGGGAGTTTAGTTAGCAGCTACCATCACAGGCAAAACAGACTAAACGTAGGAAAAAAATAGTTAAATTTACTGCCAATTTAAAACAGAGTAAATGCAGTAGTTGTGGGCATGAGCTCTTCTCTGCTGCTCCTTCCTCTTCTCTCCTACTCCAGCATGGGCTGCTTTCTATAGGCCACAGTTACTGCCAGGAACCTGCTCCAACATGGATTCTCTGTGGTGCTTTCCTGCTATCTCACATCCCCTTCCAAATACATGTCCAACAGTTCTTGTGTCTAAAAGAACACAGCCTCACCTGACAGTGTACAGTGAATTTCCATGTGTGCACATTACCAAAAGATCCAAATTGGGTATAGCTATCCTGTCTGTAATATGTTTCAATTTTATCCACTTTATGTTACGCCAAAAGTTATAATCAGAAGTTTGTAATATGAAATAAATAAGACATGAAGAATTCTAGCAATGATATTTATGTACTCTGAGAACACTGAAATAGCAAAAAAATATTTGCACTACAAATAGCACTTAGAAATTTTTTCCATCACTCTAAGAAAGAAAACTTTCCTACTAAACTTTAAAGAAAGAAATTTTAAAAATCTTCTGTATAAGCCCCCTCACACCCTGTTGAAACTGGAGGAGGAAACCATTTCTCCAGCTTGTCCCAAAGCAATAATTTCTCCTGCAAGTCCATACACAGCCTAGCTCCTTTTTTTGTTCAGGCTAGAATAGCCTGGAATTGGTAAGTAATTTTCTTTTAAACCTATTAGGTCCTATTTAGATTTATGAGAAAAAATGAACATGTGACTTTTACCCAAACCATATTTCTAGAACAATACCCCTCTTCCCCCATATTCTAGATGCCAATAGTTAACAAATCCCATTTATCTATTGAAATAACATCTCCCTTCATGATGGGGAGGAGCATTTTATTCTGAGACTGACAACAGCTAACACTTGATAACATTTCAAAAGGAAGCCTTTCTAGATGTCCAGTGTGTGGATAAAACCATTTATAAATTATTGTCTCATCAGCCTCTTCTGATGGACACAAAGCAGCTCTAGTACAGGCAATTCACCACTCTATTACATTCTCTGTTTCATGGGCCTGGAAATTTGTCCCCCTCCTCATTAATACAGGTGTCATGCAGCTCATTGTCATGATCAAAATATTCACAGAATATGAAGCCAAAAATGGAAAACATATTTTATGACTTCTGGGTCAGGACCACTATGGAAGTCATTACAGAATTACTTTGCATGCTTTTTACTGGGAGCATGCAGCTGCACAAAGTCTCCATATTTACCCTTACATCAAAGGATTTATAGAATACATGAAGATTCTATTATACAATACAATTAAGGAGAAAATGTGAGAAAGAGGGGGAGAAAGGAGAGAAAGAAGTTCAACATACTCACACAAACCACACATATACAT